AAGAAAAGATTTGGTCTTTTTGATTGTGAAATCTCTTCTGGTCCATTTGTTTAACATTTTCATAATTGACTTTAGACAGCAGTTTAAAAATGCTGATATTATTGTAGGCTTTTAACTGACTGATGGGATTTGTCTTTTCATTGTGTCTCATGTCCGTCGTGTTTCTGACATGTACTGCTGGCATTCTGCATTTAATGTTTATTATCCTTGCCTTTGCTGTTCTTATAGGTATTTTAGTATTAATGTAGGCTTCTTTTTTTCAAAGAGTTTTGTGTATAGATTTTTAATGCTGTTGTAAAATGCCTTAGGAACTAAAGTAAGATATAGATTTTAAATCAATAATTGTAGATTTGTCAGCACAGGTGATCAGAATGCAAAACACCAAGCAGATGAGTGGCTATTTTCTGTTTGAGAACAACTTGGTCATTACTGAGGTGCCAAGATGATTAGTTTAAGGAGTAAGAATGCATAATGATGGACAACTGCTGTGAGATTTGTCACATCTACCTCAGAGCAAGAAGACCAATAACGTTTTTGCCCACCCAGCCCGAAATAAAGAGAAGAAACACGTAACATGGGGTAACTGGGTCACAATTTTATTAACTTTGGTAACTTTAAATCCCTTTTCACACGGGGGCCTACTGTAGTGCAATACTGGTCTGTGCCCGTAGTCAATTTTGACTTTCCGTTCCAGACCTCTCTTTAGTGAATTCCTAATCCTCAGGTGTGCTGTTCTACTATACAGCACACCCCCGGGCATAAAGTAACAGGAGTACCCTGCTTCCCCTCCCCTCAGCTAACTTCTGCTAATTCCAACCTGAGAGGAGGGGTGCTTGGCACCCCCTAAATGCCCATTTTAACTCACTTGAACCTATTCCCTTTACACTACCTGCAACGTATGCCCCATGCCCCCCACCAAGCCGAAGATCTCACCCCAAGACCTTCTTGCAGATCTTCTAAAAATGTCTTACCCCATGTCAGACAAATGAACTCCATCTGGCTGCTATAACTCAGGCCTGGAGACTCTAATGTTCAAATGTGATATAACTTACCCCGAGCCTTGCCTAACTCCCCTGCCTACTCCCTGATTAACTCCTTGCCTTGCCTTGTCTATAAGCCTAGGGTCACAACTAGCCCTCCATAACAATCTTGGAACAATAGTTGACCATACTATGTGTGTTGATGGACAGCATTCAGGTCAGCTAGAATCTGAAGTATCAAAGACTTGCCTGACTTCTGAGCCAAGTTGTTGCCCTCCAGGTGGATCACTAAAATGTCTGGGACCACCTTTGGGGGATCCCGGGGCACCATGTCAAGGAACCTGTTCCACAGCAGGCCTCTCCATCCCCTCCACTTCAGTGCAGTGAAGGCGCCCACCCCTAGGTTTTGCCCCCTACTGGTTTGACGGGCATGCTTCACAGTCCAAAACAGGTAACTGTGCCTGACCAACAGAACACGAACCCGGGCCAACGGTCTCTGCAGACCTGAAACAAGTAAAACCAACTAAATAACAGAAGCACCTAAAACTGTGGCAGGGGCCACACATAACCACGATAATGTTGTGACGCCCATCTCCCCACTTTTTTAATCTCCTCCCTTCCATAGCCAAGGGCTGCCACTGTAGACATGGCTCCAAGTCAAAATGAATGTGTACCAAAGTGCCAGCCCTGTATCCCAGCCTTGCATAAGGCCTGAGACGTTATTTTTCAAAATTGATACCTCGTCAGGGGTGACTTGTCTTGATGCTGCAAAATTCCTCCATCCTCATCTCCCCTAAACTGCAAATAATCCCATGCAGCATTAAATGGGCAAATCTCAGTTATGGAACATTGCCCAAGAGCAATAAACTTTCCTTTGCCACTCTAGTCTGTTTTTGACCTACATAAATGTGTAACTAACTGATTATCTCCTATGACTATGTCCTTCCTCTGCAAAGAGAATAGGGACTGGTCAGTTTTTGCTGAAGCTATCAGTTCACTTACCCTAAGAGCAAAAAAAAAATGTTATAAATGTTGCTGCTTTGAAAAGGCAGGGCTCAAAGTGATTCCTACAGACAGTATGTCATGTGTTTACCAACTTTACTAATATCGCTGGGGAAAAGGTGAATGAGAATCCTTGACATCACCTCTCTCCCTATTCCAACCCTCACTCATTTTCTTTATCCTAGTCTACAAAATAACCTCTACACCCCTGCACCTTGGCGTAAAATGCTAATGCAAACATCTGCCCTTGGATCAACCAGAGTGCTAATCCCTTGCAGTGCAGATGCACCACTAGCTGCATCATGTGATTGTCCAAAGGAGGCCAATCCTGTCCTAAACCCTCTTCCTCTTGAAACTTGAAAAACTCAGTACAAGCTGCTGTGTAACTATGCCTACAGCTAGGGGCTACGGCTAAACTCATGGCTCTGTTGGCCTCAGCCTACCAAGATTCCATACCTCGATCAGTAACACATCAGATTGAGCCTGTGCCCCCGGTGCCAACACCCTGAACCAGTCCATCTGTTGATGGGACAGGGCGTCAGCTGTGGCATTGTCAATTCCCGGAACATGACGGACTTGAAAAACTATATTAAACTACAAACAATGGAGCACCATGGCTCTAACTAGCATCATCATCCTCCGGTACCTGGATGTCAGTGAGTTAACTATGTGCACCACTGCCTGGTTATCGCACCAGAAGGTAACCACCAAGTTAGCCCACTGCTCACCCCATAACCATAAGGCACCCACTATTGGAAATAGCTAAAGATATGTAAGATCCCTCATAACACCTGACGTGTGCCACTCCCTTGGCCACATTCCTGCACACAATTGACCTTTGAAAAAGATGCCATAACCCAGGGATCCCACGGCATCTGTCTGCACTTGAGAATCTGCCCTTAGCCTCAGGTTTTCCCTCCAAAAGGATGTACTGTTAAAACTTTGGAGGAATTGTAGCCACACTTTTAAGTCTTCTTTCATACTCTGAGTTAGGCATCTCTTGTGATGCTGCTTTTTAAGGCCTCTCATCCCCTCACATAATTGCCTGAGGAAAGCTCTAATCGGAGCCACAACTTTGCAAGCAAAGTTTAGGTGTCCTACAATTTGCTGTAGCTCCCTCAAGGTGACTTTTTGGCATGCCAACATTCCTTGCAGCCGTGCTTCCAGATCTGTCAGCTTATCCTCTGGTAATCGACTGGCCTGAAGAATACTGTCCAGCTCAATGCCCAGAAATACCATCTCTGGCTGAGATCTTCTGTCTTTTCATCAGCCAAAGGTCCCTGGCTAACTCTTGAAATACAAACATCAAACCAAGATTCCATACCTCGATCAGTAACACATCAGATTGAGCCTGTGCCCCCGGTGCCAACACCCTGAACCAGTCCATCTGTTGATGGGACAGGGCGTCAGCTGTGGCATTGTCAATTCCCGGAACATGACGGACTTGAAAAACTATATTAAACTACAAACAATGGAGCACCATGGCTCTAACTAGCATCATCATCCTCCGGTACCTGGATGTCAGTGAGTTAACTATGTGCACCACTGCCTGGTTATCGCACCAGAAGGTAACCACCAAGTTAGCCCACTGCTCACCCCATAACCATAAGGCACCCACTATTGGAAATAGCTAAAGATATGTAAGATCCCTCATAACACCTGACGTGTGCCACTCCCTTGGCCACATTCCTGCACACAATTGACCTTTGAAAAAGATGCCATAACCCAGGGATCCCACGGCATCTGTCTGCACTTGAGAATCTGCCCTTAGCCTCAGGTTTTCCCTCCAAAAGGATGTACTGTTAAAACTTTGGAGGAATTGTAGCCACACTTTTAAGTCTTCTTTCATACTCTGAGTTAGGCATCTCTTGTGATGCTGCTTTTTAAGGCCTCTCATCCCCTCACATAATTGCCTGAGGAAAGCTCTAATCGGAGCCACAACTTTGCAAGCAAAGTTTAGGTGTCCTACAATTTGCTGTAGCTCCCTCAAGGTGACTTTTTGGCATGCCAACATTCCTTGCAGCCGTGCTTGCAGATCTGTCAGCTTATCCTCTGGCAATCGACTGGCCTGAAGAATAATGTCCAGCTCAGTGCCCAGAAATACCAGTCTCTGGCTGAGATCTTCCATCTTTTCATCAGCGAAAGGTTCCTGGCTAACTCTTGAAATACAAACATCAATTCCTGACATTGTGGTGTATCCTGAATACCACAAAATTAAAAAAATCATCAAGGTAATGAACAACTCTGGTGTCCATAAATTTATGCCTAAGTGCCTATTCCAAAAAGGTGCTAAACTGCTAAAAAACCAAACAGGTATGGAACATCCCATTGGGAATGCCCTATCCATATAGTAGCTAACTTCAAAAGCAAATCCCAGAAAAACCAGGAGAAGTCTAAAGGCTGATTTGATATCACATTTTCCCAGCTGAGCACCAATCCCACAACTCCACACCATGCACACAGCTTCATCAAAGGATGTATAGTGGACACTACAAAGTTCCTGTGGGATTTTGTCATTAACTGGATCCCCAGCCAGAAACGATAAATGTACCACGTCCCATTTATCCATATAGTAGCTAACTTCAAAAGCAAATCCCAGAAAAACCAGGAGAAGTCTAAAGGCTGATTTGATATCACATTTTCCCAGCTGAGCACCAATCCCACAACTCCACACCATGCACACAGCTTCATCAAAGGATGTATAGTGGACACTACAAAGTTCCTGTGGGATTTTGTCATTAACTGGATCCCCAGCCAGAAACGATAAATGATGAATTAATCTAAACTCCCCAGGTACTTTTTTTGGAACCACTCCCAGTGGCAACACTCTCAAATGTTCAACTGGAGGTGCTGGGAAAGGACCTAAAACCTTTCCTTCCTTAACTTCTTTACTCATTTTCTTTCTCACAATGCCTTCTTGTCCCTTAACTGATTTCAAGTTGTCTGACTAAGTGGCTGTTCTATCACCCGTGATAGGAATATGAAAACCAAACTTGAAACCATCTAACAGAAACTTACCCACCACTTTGTCCGGGTAGAAACTAAGCCACTGCTCCAAAATTGAACCATAATTGGGCTAGGACCCTTTTTGTGCAGTATTTGAGGCTGGAGGTGGCTTGCGACCCCCCTCTCTGGAGTCTCTACCCACATTACCACCTGGTCGCCCTTTTAGATATGCCGATGACTCATGTGGGCCGCTATATATGGAACCTTGGTGCTTAAATCTGCACGGTCTCCTATTACAAGAACCTCAGACATAGAATTCCCAGCAGAACAGGTGGGGATGAACCACCTGACCTGCTGTCATGCGGGAACGGCCAGCTTGTGCCCTTTGCACCAAATGCCCACTGTCAAATCTATCACCCAATTCCGGGTGGGATGAAGTCATAAGCTGTAGCCATAGAGCATCATGTGGGATGTCCCAACGCATGCTGGAGCTCAACACTCTGTGCATATGGAAGCCCTCATCTTAAAAGAGCCATGCATGTCCCAGGAAATCCACATATGCCCTGCAGATAAGGTCTATATACTGGATTTGTGCCAATGCCCTTTGTGGATGTCAGAAGGCTCATTAAAGGCCTTGGACGGTCCCAAATTTGGTGCGTAAATAGACACAGTAGAATCATTCAAACCATAACTATTTTTATTCATGTTAATTAAGGGGGTATCTATAACAATTTCTGCAGGAACAAACGGATCCCAACCATTCAAATGTCCATCAAAGAGTTCATCATTATTACCAGAACTAAAGTCTGTCTTCAAAATTGGGGTGCCGGGCCAAAACGTTCCTCGTCACTGGGTTTCCTCAAAGGTGCGCTCCTCACTGCGCACATAGTGCCACAGCACGGATGGTGAGCCCAATCCCCCTCTGAGGGTGGCTTGTTGAATGGTGGGCCCAGTCCCCCTCTGAGGGTGACTTGTTGAAGGTGGGGTCCGGTCGCACCACCTTCTTCCAGGAACCACGTCCCCTCGGGAATACTACCACAGTCCATTCCAAGGTTTCCCTTATTGTCACATCTTCTCCCTCTGGCACCAGATCAGGCAGCAGATCTCCCACGTTCAGGTTTGGGAAATCCTTTAATAGATTGTTCACATGCTCACTCTTCTTCTCCTCCTTTTCCCTCTTGTTTGTCTCAATATAAAAATCCCACACGCCTGTCCCCACTTTTATATCTTCCTCCCATACGTCCATCACTTGCTCCTCCTCCTTCCCTTTCCCTTCCTCCAAGAGACAGACTTCTACCTTAACCCTTTCCTAATCTCTCTTTGTTTTTAACATCTCTCTCTCGTTTTCCTCTTCCTTTAGGTCCTTGATTTCCAGAGGAGACAGCATACTCCTATCATCCTGTCCTTCACAGTGGATAAGTGCGAACCACTGTTCCCACATAAATAAAAAGCCCTGGCAGCCAATTAGCCCAGCATCTGTCCAGTTTACGCCTACACAGTTTCTCATTCTCCCTTTCTTCCTACTTGTTCTTCTTCTCCTTAATTTATCTATTTAGTAAGTAAAAACATCTACATACTTTCCTTTCAATTTTTTCCACTGTGGCTGGCAGTAGATGGTCTCCTAAAGATAAAGCATGATCACCTTCAGGAAGGGCACACCTCGTGAGCAAATTGTAACCTGTATCTACTACAGCCGTCACCACTGTCCCTCCTATTCCTGCACCACACCAGCCTGTTGTTCATAAGTCTGGCTTAGGACAACCTCTATATTGGACCCCGTTTGCGTGCATTGTCCACACCCTACTGCCTGCCGAGGTAAGGCCGAAGGAACCAGCACTGCATGACTCCTGGTACCCCACAGCCAAACACTCACAGACTATGTAGTGCCCAGTGTAACTCGTGGATACAGGTTCCTCCAGCACAGCCATGGCTGATCCACCATCTCCACTCAGTTCCTGCTGAATAGTCCTGGCCTTACATGCCACTTCCATCTGTCCTTCTTCCTCATTCATCTGTGTCTGGGTACTAGATGATGCCAGCCTTGACCCACTGCGCCGCTGCTCAGTAACCTGCATTACCCTTTCTTGCGTTGCTGGGGTACCAACTGCTGAGGATGCACCAGATGGGCTGGAATGCTCACCTTCCAAAATAGCAATATGTGAAAGCATGAGATCACCCATCCTTTTAAGCTCAGCTATTTTTCATGACTTGAAAAATAGACCTACCCACTGCTGGCCCACCATCCTCAATACCCTTCTGTGCTCGTTCCCTCTCCAACACACTAAGCTTCTCCCATATTGTTCTATACTCAGGCCAATCCTCTTCGTCTGACAAGGAAATGACTGGAGGTGAACATGGGGGGGGGGCTCTGTGCTTAGCAGGCTGCTTCCCCTTCTTTCCACCTTTGTTATTCTTAGGACCCATGCTGCTACCCTTATTAAGCCACTCACTACACTTAACAAGCATATTTAAACTGTCAGCAACCCCATCAACTGAAACAGAGCAATTTATCTCTTTATCCACACACACAAACACACACACACACAAAACATGGACATACTCCTATATATTTATCTAACTATATCCAAATTAGTTGATGATTGTTATCACTTTTATTTATTTTAAATTAATATTATAATTACTTATACAGACACACACACAGAGAGAGAGAGAGAGAGAGAGAGAGAGAGAGAGAGAGAGAGAGAGAGAGAGAGAGAGAATATAGGCAGGGGAGGTGTGGCAAAAAAGGGGGAAGGGAGGGAACGCTGGGTACAGGCAACTGCCCTTCAAGAAGTGAACCCTTCCTGCAATCCCTCCCCCACAACGCCTAATTAAGCAATAATAAGTAATTAATTTAATGTAATTTTAAATTTAATTTTAATTCTTTATTCTTTATTTTTATTTTTTATTTTTTTTAAAAAAAAACAGTGGGGTGAAGCCTGCAAAGGCTCTCTCCCCAAACTAGTGCCAACAATACAAAATGCCAAACTGCAGCAGGTTGAACCGATGCCCAGCCCGCAGCCAGGTACTCTTCTTGTCCAGCGGCCATGCGGTCAAAACTGAAATTGCTGCAGTCATGCAGCATAGCCCTCCATCTTCTCCAACTTCTAGCCGACGAAGAGGGTGATGCTGAGCTGAGCAGCCTCTTTTAAGGCTTCTGCTCTCACCTGCTCACCCCTAATGTTTCATTTCATCCAGCCGAGTGGGCAAAACAGCCCCACCTAGGCAGTTGCATGCCTTGCGAAGAGCCCTTGGCCAGAACATAATTTATCAAGCCAACCACAAACAACAGTAAACAACAAAGGACAAAAATCAGTAAATTGTGTTTAAAACTGCAGAGTTCTGTGCACAAAATACAAGGGACACCAAATACTGCTTTTTGTCCAAAACCAAACAAAAACTTGAAGAGATTTTCCAAAAAAGAGCTTTTTTAAAGTACAAAAATTCACTATCGAGTGGAAAACTTTTGACATTTTTCATTTTCATTTGTGGGAATGATGGAAGCGAAGATTTACCTCTCTACTAAGAACCTAGACAAGAGCTATGTTGGTCCAAAAAGAACCATATTGGCCCTTGTGTGTTACCTGGCATTTACCTGAGAACAACACAGCATTTTTTTATTCTAGCAGAATGCTACAGAGACTTGAACACAATTTTTTAAAATTCCTATAGAGTTGTCCTTGTAAGACTTTGTCTGCTGATTACTGAAATGTCATAGAATGTCAATGGAATGAATCCAGGAATCATCCACAATGACTTTAGTTATGTATGTTTACATCCCATCTTTCTTCTGGTGTTAAAGTACCTGAGTACATGACACTTATCCCCCATACTTTATCCTCATAACATTCCTGAGAAGTATATCAAGCTGAGAAACAGTGACTGATCCAGGTCACCCAATGGAGAGAACTTGTTCTTCACAAGTCCCACTCCAATATTTGACAAACGACACAACACTGGCTCTCCAGTACCTCTGGTACTGGCTTGTTTATATTATTTAATTTTGTTCATAAATGGTATGACAGGTATTTCTCAATATTATTCTGAAACATGAAGCTGCTTCTATGGACCATTAGAATGCCATCTGAGGAGAGAAACAGCCTCCTTTGTCCTACCGTTTAATGGAAGTGGAAGAAACCCTCCTACTTCTCCTCATTACATTATCTACTAGATTGACTTGCTTTCATAATGTTCTGTTCACAAACATAGCTTACTCCCTAATGCAGTTGTTGCAAGATTATGAAGCATATCTTTTCCAGTGCTGATTGCTAAGGTAACTCCTGTATGTAGGAGTTTAAGGAGCATTTGTTTGAGTCATATTTAACTTCACATTGGTGTTGAAAATATGGGAAAAGAAAGGACAACATGTCTCAATTAAAGTCAGTAGTCCAGAAAGGAATTCTAGGTGTGTGTTTTTTTAAAAATTCATTATTGACTATTTATTTAAAAAATGTTATCAGTTACTTACATTTGTAGCCCCATTATACTGAGGGAAGACAAAGGGCAAACAACTAACATTGGAATGCCTATTATAATCAGGTGCAGCTATAATAAACACTTTTTCATGGGTGTTTAATGGTGATCTATATTTTAAACTAGACTGCCTTTATCATGATCCCAGTTAATGTATGTGTTCTGTATAGAATGCATGCTGCATATACATAGAGGGCTCCAAATTCAGTTCTGTGCTTTCCCATCTAAAATGATCCTTTACAGAGGATATGTACCTGAGACTAATGACAGAAGGAAAGATTTTCTTTCTTTCTTTCTTTCTTTCTTTCTTTCTTTCTTTATTTCTTTCTTTCTTTCTTTCTTTCTTTCTTTCTTTCTTTCTTTCTTTCTTTCTTTCTTTCTTCTCAGAAGCCTCACACTGGAATTAATAAATATATCAATAATTTTCACACAACAACAATTGCAGAGCTGGAAGGTACCTGTGCATCAAGTCCAGCCCCTGCCACAGAGGCACAGAGGAGAATCAAACTCCCAACCTACCTAAACCACTGAGCTATCCAGCAGTCAGATCACTTGGAGCTACTAGCATCATGTGTTCTATTATACATTTGCCTTCTTCTGTAAGATGGACAAAACGCTACTCCCCCTCATGCCTGCTACAAGACTTACATCTGGATGATAAGT